AGCTAGCCAAGCGCTTTCACTCGGACTTTCCTGTCCTGCGCTTGCACTCTGACAGGGGTGGTGAGTTCGCCTCCGACCTCTTGGCAGCCTACTGTGCTGAGCACGGCATTGAGCAGTCGTTCACACTTCCGGCCTCTCCACAGCAGAATGGGGTCGCTGAGCGCCGCATTGGCTTGGTCATGGAGGTCGCTCGTACCTCCCTGACCCATGCGGCTGCTCCCCACTTTCTGTGGCCGTTTGCGGTCCGGTACGCAGCGCATCAGCTCAACCTCTGGCCCCGTGTCTCCTTGCCGGAGACTTCCCCGACTCTACGGTGGACGGGAGAGGTTGGCGATGCGTCGCGTTTCCGGGTCTGGGGATCTCGAGCTTTTGTCCGCGACACGTCCGCGGACAAGCTCTCGCGTCGCGCTGTTCCCTGTGTCTTTCTTGGCTTTGTTCCCGACGCGCCTGGTTGGCAGTTTTACCACGTCACCTCGCGCCGGGTTCTGGCCTCTCAGGACGTCACTTTTGACGAGTCCGTCCCCTTCTACCGCCTCTTCCCCTACCGCACTGCCCCGCTCCCCCCCCCCGCCTCTCTTCCTCGCTCCAGGTGCTGAGGTACCAGACCCCCTCCCCCCTCAGGGTGCCGCTCCCTCAGGTGTGTCCCAGGTAGACCCGGGTGAGCCTGTCGAGGTAGCTGTTGACTCGCGTCCTGCGTCTGGGGGTGCTGAGCCTGGGAGTACTGCGTCTGAGGGTGCGGAGCCTGGGGGTGCTGAGTCTGGAGGTGCGGAGCCTGGGGGTGCTGAGCCTGGAGGTGCGGAGCCTGGAGGTGCGGAGCCTGGGGGTGCTGAGTCTGGGGGTGCTGAGTCTGGGGGTGCTGAGCCTGAGCGTGCTCCACCTGGAGGAGCCCTCTCCTCCCAGCAGCTGCAGGAGAGGTACCTCGAGTACTGCCGCCTCCCGAGAGGTGCTTCTGGAGCTCGTCCCGGTACTTCCCCTCCTACCCAGGAGCTCCCCCCCATTCAGGTGATCCGCGAGTGGTACACGCGGCGCTGCAGTCTTCGTAGTGGTGCTCCTGGTGCTGCGGACCCGAGCAGTGGTGCTGTTGCTGGTGCTGAGGACCCGGACGCTGGAGCTGCTGCTGGTGCTGAGGACCTGGGGGCTGGAGCTGCTGCTGGTGCTGAGGACCCGACCGGTGGCGCTGCTGCTGGTGCTGAGGACTCGGGCGTTGGAGCTCCTACTGGTGCTGAGGACCCGGGCGTTGGAGCTGCTGCTGGTGCTGAGGACTCGGGCGTTGGGGCTGCCACTGGTGTCCCTGCTGCTTCTGGAGACGCTGCGCGGCCGCGACCGTACTTCGTACCGCTCCTTCAGCAGGTTCTTGGTCAGGCTCCTCCTCCTAGTCCTCCTCCCTCCGTCGAGTGTCCTCTGCCTGTCCAGCCGCAGTCACAGTTACCGCCTGCCTCGCCTCTCCCTGCTCCCTCCCCTTACGCTGGTCCCACAGGAGGTCTTACAGAGCGTCGTGAGCCTGAGTCTCGTCCTGCGTCGCCTGTTCGTACTGCTCGCACTGGTCGTCGTGTCCCACGTGAGCGTCCTCCTCCTGTCCCTGGCACTCACTACATGACTCTGCGTCCCTCCACTGCTCCGCAGCGTGTCCCGCTGCCGTCTCCTCCTGCGTCCTCTCTTCCTACTCTTCCTGACCCGGAGTCTGACTCCCGTCGTGCTGCCAGTCCCACTGTTACGCGTCTCCTCGCTACAGTTGTCACTGACCCGACCTTTGAGTCCTCTGCTGCGTCTGCTCTGGTCGCTGAGTTGGTTGACTTTGCTGCTCGCTGTCGCCTAGACTACGCTGCCAGCCTTGTCGCTAGGTCTGAGTCTGCGTCTGCCTGTCCTCCGTCCGTCGGGGGTGAGTGTGCCCTCGGCACGGACGTCCTTGAGGACAGACAGGAGGAGTTCCACTGCCTTGCTGCTGCTTTGCCCCGTCTCGTGTCCTTGCTAGTTGCCCCTGAGGGAGACCCGGATGCACCAGACATCCCGACCCCACGCTCTTACGCTGAGGCGATGGCGGGTCCCTACTCCTCTCAGTGGCAGACAGCCATGGACGCAGAGATGGCCTCCTGGAAGTCCACAGGCACCTACGTAGACGAGGTTCCCCCTCCTGGGGCGAACATCGTCAGTGGCATGTGGATTTTCAGGGTGAAGCGGCCGCCGGGTTCTCCACCTGTCTTCAAGGCGCGCTACGTGGCTCGAGGCTTCAGTCAGCGAGAGGGAGTAGACTTCTTTCAGACCTTCTCCCCCACCCCGAAGATGACTACTGCTGCACATAGCCGCTTCGGGTGCTGCTGCACATAGCCGCTCACCGCGACTACGAGCTTCACTCTCTTGACTTCAGCACTGCTTTCTTGCAGGGCAGCCTGCACGAGGAGATCTGGCTGCGCCGCCCCCCTGGCTTCACTGGGTCAGTTCCTCCTGGCACCCAGTGGAGGCTTCAGCGGCCGGTCTACGGTCTCCGCCAGGCGCCACGTGAGTGGCACGACACACTGAGGACGACACTTGCGGCTCTTGGGTTCGCTCCCTCTACTGCTGACCCGTCGCTGTTTCTACGCACCGACACCTCGCTGCCGCCGTTCTACATCCTCGTGTACGTCGACGACTTGGTCTTTGCCACTGCTGACACCGCGGCACTCGCTCACGTGAAGTCGGAGCTGCAGAAGAGACACACGTGCACAGACCTGGGTGAGCTGACGAGCTATCTTGGCTTGCGGATCACCCGGGACAGAGCACGGCGCACCATCACCCTGACTCAGTCACACATGGTGCAGCAGGTTCTCCAGCGCTTCCGCTTCACGTACTCCTCGCCTCAGTCCACTCCTCTGCCTACCGGTCACTCGCTCTCAGCTCTGCCTTCGGATGAGTCCGTAGAGCCGAGTGGCCCGTATCCAGAGCTTGTGGGCTGCCTCATGTACCTGATGACCTGCACTCGACCTGACCTTGCATACCCTCTTAGCATCCTAGCACGCTATGTCGCTCCTGGCCGTCACCGGAAGGAGCACATGGATGCTGCTAAGAGGGTGTTGCGCTACTTGTGCAGTACGTCGGGCATGGGGCTTGTGCTTGGAGGGCGAGACCGGGTTGTTCTCACAGGGCACTCAGACGCTTCTTGGGCAGACGACCAGGCTACTCAGCGGTCGTCCCAGGGTTACACCTTCAGCCTTGGCTCTGGCTCAGTTTCTTGGCGTTCTACTCGCTCTTCTTCTGTTCTCAGCTCCAGTTGTGAGGCTGAGATCTACGCCACAGCCATGGCTGCTCAGGAGCTACGCTGGCTGACCTACCTGCTGACCGACCTCGGAGAGCGGCCTCGTTCTCCTCCAGTGCTGTACGTCGACAACAAGGCTGCCATTGCCTTGTGTGAGGAGCACAGACTGGAGCACAGAACGAAGCACATCGCTCTGCGGTACTTCCTTGCTCGAGAGCTGCAGCAGCGTGGTCAGCTTTGTCTGCGTTACGTGGCCACGGAGGCCAACACTGCTGATGTGTTCACCAAGGCGCTTCAGCCTTGTGACCATCAGCGCTTTTGCACGCTGCTAGGCCTTGTACCTACTGGGCCTCACTTGCTTACCTCTTGACCTTGCTTGTACTGTGATCACTATATATATATGCCTACTTGTTTACTTTTGCTAGGTTGTGATCACTGTATCTCTTGCTTTGTTATAAACCTGCATGTGAACTGGTCTTGTGACCGCTTGCTTGTGCTCGGAATTTGTGTGGAATCCTTGAGATCCACCCTGAGCTTGCTTTGCTTTGCTTTGACTGGTCTTGTGACCCTGTGGTTGTCTCCCACTGCGCCTATGGGGGTGTGTCAAACATTGCATGTTTATATTATGTAGGCTGTAGTGGGTTACACCTTAGGGGGTACTCAAAGTTAGGGTTTCCTACTTGTACCAAACTCTGTGCTAGTTCATCCCATTCCTGCTCAGTTATTCTGACATTACACGCCCTAAGGCTTCCGGAAAAATTCTTACACCTGTTTGTCCTGCTTTAATGCATGAGCTAGTACATCCGTCTCACGTACAGGACAAACTTGGTCCGCCTGCTTGAGCATTTGCTGCAAGCTGAATGTGCTACAAGGCCTGGTTACAAGCGCAGGGGTTAGGTTTTGCCCTGGTGAGGTCGTGGCATGGCGGGAAAGTCTGCGGCTCCTCAGGGGCTGCCCGATGGGATTGACAAAGGCGGAGTGTGTCGTCTCCCTGTCGTGATCCTTCCCTCTTCAGTCTTTCGTCGCGAAGTTCGCCATAGCATCTCGGATCGTCACGACGCCTTCAGGCACATGGGCGTTCACTATGAGTTCTTTCCGGGATCAAGCCTGATTAGTTGATCGTTGTTTCGCTGAGTTCCTGAGATTGTCTAGCGAGTTTTTGCGACCATGACGTTTCGTTGCTACTTATCTGGGAACCAGATTCGTAACGTTGTACGGGGATGCGTTAGATTGCACGCGACTCGTCACGCCAGTAGTCACGAGTCCCCTTAAACGCTATAGTAGCATGTCAGAGGTCCACTGGTGATCCCCGATTGATCCTAGGGAAGGGTTACAGGCATGGCGGCCTGGGGGGTTATGGGCGCACTCACCCGCTACACAAACAAGCCCTTTTATCCCAATGGTTAGTGGTTGGGATTCTGACATGGTATCAGAGCGAAGGTCTCGGGTTCGAATCCCGGTGTGTGCACCTCGGGCATCCCAGTGCGGGGGGGTGTCAGAGGTCCACTGGTGATCCCCGATTGATCCTAGGGAAGGGTTACAGGCATGGCGGCCTGGGGGGTTATGGGCGCACTCACCCGCTACACAAACAAGCCCTTTTATCCCAATGGTTAGTGGTTGGGATTCTGACATAGCAGGCAGCGGGTTGCTTGTAAAATGACTAGTTCTGATGCCGTGGGATTCGAGTCTCATGCTGTGCCATCGGATATCGCAATTCTCGTTTCAGTGTTTCGTCTTCACTGTTTTCCTGATCTACTTACAGATCTATGAGATGGCAGCTCAACAAATGGAGTACCAAGTGAGCCTATTCAACGCGTGAGTATTCACTTTCCCAATCCCGTTTGGAAGCAACCCCGTCCTTCATCCCTCCTACTCCCCTAACCCTTTCCCTCATTTCCCCTTCCCACGCCAACGCCTCCTTCGTCCAGCGTTCATCACTCTTTCCTCACACTTCCATCCTCCTTCCCTCCCTCCTCTCGTCGACTCTCTCCTTTCCCTCTCTTTCTCTCTCCCTCTACCTCGCTGCCTCGCACTTTCCCCTTCCCTCTACCTCGCTGCCTCGCACTTTCCCCTTCCCTCTACCTCGCTGCCTCGCACTTTCCCCTTCCCTCTACCTCGCTGCCTCGCACTTTCCCCTTCCCTCTACCTCGCTGCCTCGCACTTTCCCCTTCCCTCCACCTCGCTGCCTCGCACTTTCCCCTTCCCTCTACCTTGCTGCCTCGCACTTTCCCCTTCTCTTTACCGAGCCCTCCCATGTTTGCTGTATACGTGTATGCATCAATGGGGCTGCCTGAATGTGACAGCTCAGCATGCTCTCCTTGTGCCTGTCCATCGTTTACAATGTCAACTGCTCACTTTTTTCTTCCAACTGGGTGTTCTTTTCTGCCCCCTTTTCTCCTTCTCGAATACATTTCCTTAACCGATGCCAATGACAGTATGGTGGCAACCTGTTTTGACAAGTGTTATGAGAAGAAGTAAGTGGTAAATTTGCCTTCTGCTTTGCGTACACTGTAATATTGCTCATTGTAACTCACGTAGTGAGTTGCGTCTGCAAGGTAGCGTGCAACAAACGTTGACTCATTGAGTAAGCTGCTCTGATCCTTCAAACTGTTGTCGGGATACATTTCTGTAGCACAAATGTATGCATCTTTTTCTTCTTTTTTAATTCTGCTGTTTGCACTGGTTCCTGCTGTCTACCATGCCATTCAATCAGGTACAAGGAGTCAGAATTGAATCTAGGAGAGACTAGCTGTGTTGACAGATGTGTTTCCAAATACTGGCAGGTGAGTTGAAATTTGAGCCAAGAATTTGCGTATTGAAGTGTTTGGTTATGTTTTGTGTGTGTGGCCCAGGATTAATTTGTCATGGCTGAATCAATTTTGTTTCGTGTGAGGTGTTGCAAGATTTCTAATGGTGTTGTTTCATGGCACCGGTGTGTAAAACAGGTGCGAGGGATTATTGGTCAATATCTTGGAGTTTCTGGCAGTGGGATGTAATGCTCCACAGGGCTATCATGTTACCAGTACCAGCATACACGATTTTAGAATGAGGCCTTAGCTTAGTTCTTTAGTTTGGAGTTTGTCTCTGATGGTTAAATTTGCAAAAGTAAACACGTGCTGTTATTGAAACGCAGCGTTTCTAATTGCAGACTAACGCCGCCGCAATTTCCTATGCTTCCCCCACCGTGCCGCTGCAGATTTTCTCGACCATTTCCTTCCAATCACGGCTGCCTACCTCTGACACAATCCAAGGCCCGCCAGAATATATCCAACGGCTTTCCTTTTCCTCCCCCATACGCCTCCTGCGGTTTCTCGCAGCTTCCTCCTTGCAGAATTACAGCCGCCCTGATTGCATCTAACCAGTGACCACCATTTGGAACCGCAATCAACACCGAGTTTTTCCACTTTCCAAGGCATCACCGAATATTGCAGGAATTTCCTGACTTTCCTGCTCGAGCCACAACGCAAGTAGCGAGGTGGTTTGGCAGTTTCCTCGGCGAAGCCAGCGGCCGTCCCGCTGTCCGATAGCAGTGCGTCCTTATAACGCCGCCGTAGCCTAGACCACTGCGTCAGGACCAGGTTTCCTCAGAGGCGCAGACGTACATTTGCAGAACGTATTGCGGAGAAATCAATATTTGTTCGTGAAACGTACCGTATTAGACAGTGCCCTTCCGTCTTTTGACAAAATACAGCACCACTTTCATTCCGCGGCAAGAGGAATATCACATCGCTCCCTTATTAGCACCATTGCAGTTGAAGTCCCATTAGACGCGCAACGAACACAGCGAAGTTCGCGCCATGGCCCAGCCGATTACCACCCAGCAGCAGCAGCAGCAGGCATCGCAGGAAGAGAGCGACGTTCCCCAGCTGCTCGCCGCGCTCCCCGTGTCGCCGCCTCCGCTGGTGGAGGGTCCCAGCTCCGCGCTCGTGCGCCTGCTCTTCGCGGACCTCTCTGGCCAGCGCCGTGTGCGGGTGAGTGCCGTCCCATTCCGTGAATCCTGTTCGCCTGGGATCTCTGTTACTGAATGCTCCCAAGCAGCCGCTACCTCGCCTGCTCTTCGCGGACCTCTCTGGGCAGCGCCGCGTGCGGGTGAGCGCCGTCGCGTTCTGCAAAGTCTTGTTCGCCTGGTTTTCCTTTTAAGCGGATTATGCTTGGTTGCTCCCAAGCAGCCGCTGCCTCGCCTGCTCTTCGCGGACCTCTCTGGGCAGCGCCGCGTGCGGGTGAGTGGCTGCTGACGAAGGAAACACGGCGGCTGCCAGTCGAGTCACAGCTTTCAGCTCGATGCTCAGTTGGAGACACAGCTGTGATTCCCTTCCAACAGCGACCGAGGAAAACGCGGCGGCTCAAATAGTTTCCCTTCCAACATCGGGCGTGCTCATGAGTCATAGCAGGCTCTCTGCGTGATTGTCGGGTGGGTGACCGTCGCGTGTGATGTGAGTGGGCCGCTCCACGCGCAGACGAGCTGCGAAAGAGCTGATGTGCGATTTCGGAATCGTTAAGGCATGCCGAAAGCTGATGTGCCACTGATTGGTTGATCCATCCTTTTAAGATTGTTGCGACCTCCGATGTCTCAATAAATGGAAGTGATCCAATCGATTGATCCCACAATGCGTGACTGTTGAGATCACACGATTACGGTCATGAAATAGCCGCCCTTTTCCGGCCACCCAACTTCCCGTTAAAACCCCCTTGCAATCTCCGCCATTCAGGTGGTTCCTTGGGACCGGTTCCGCACGCTGACGTGTCAGCAGGGGATAGGCCTGGCGCGCTGCATCTACGCCTTCGCGTCGTTCGTGGATGGGCCCGCCCCCGGGTGTGGCCTGTCCGCCGTGGGGGAGGTGCGACTCATGCCTGACGTCAGCACCCTGAGGACCCTCCCGTGGTGGGTAACGGGTAGGTGTATTGCAAGCGTCAGCAGTCTTGCCAGCACCCTGAGGGCCCTCCTATGGTGGGCTCATCACATGCAAGCTGGCGTCAGCACTGCTGTCTGTTCTCTGTGGCCTAGAACCTGGGAACCTGGGGACCTGGTGCTGGTCGTTAAAGTGCGGGATGAGATATCATTTTGCGAGATAGGAGTAGTGACGGGGTGCCATGCCATGGTGTGGAAGAGAGCATTCATGCATATTATCATCATTCACGCATCAGTATCATCATTCACGCATCAGTATTATCATTCACGCATCAGTATTATCATTCACGCATCAGTATTATCATTCACGCATCAGTATTATCATTCACGCATCAGTATTATCATTCACGCATCAGTATTATCATTCACGCATCAGTATTATCATTCACGCATCAGTATTATCATTCACGCATCAGTATTATCATTCACGCATCAGTATTATCATTCACGCGTCCGTATCATCATTCACGCATCATTATAATCATTCACGCATCAGTATTATCATTCACGCATCAGTATTATCATTCACGCATCAGTATTATCATTCACGCATCAGTATTATCATTCACGCATCAGTATTATCATTCACGCATCAGTATTATCATTCACGCATCAGTATTATCATTCACGCATCAGTATTATCATTCACGCATCAGTATTATCATTCACGCATCAGTATTATCATTCACGCATCAGTATTATCATTCACGCATCAGTATTATCATTCACGCATCAGTATTATCATTCACGCATCAGTATTATCATTCACGCATCAGTATTATCATTCACGCATCAGTATTATCATTCACGCATCAGTATTATCATTCACGCATCAGTATTATCATTCACGCATCAGTATTATCATTCACGCATCAGTATTATCATTCACGCATCAGTATTATCATTCACGCATCAGTATTATCATCCAAGAAACATGCGTGCCCGGGCAATGCATGGCCTCCTCGGCGTTTTTTCATGCCTCATTCGATCGTCGCCGCCCCCGCCCCCCTCTTGCCAGGTGTCCCAATCAGATGCTCGCGTTGGTGGATGCACACGTGGCGCCAGGTCAGCCGTTTGCTGTCTGTCCGCGCAGCACGCTGAGGAGAGTAGCTGCGTCTCTCAAAGACAGGTTCGGACTGGTGAGTGTTCACTCGGAGCAAAAGATGAGCAAAAGCAGACGATGTGCAAAGGTTGGTACGACGGAATACCCACGTACGCTGAGGAGAGTAGCTGCGTCTCTTAAAGACAGGTTCGGACTGGTGAGTGGACGAGTTTTGCTGTACCCGCCGAGCAAGCTTCAACAAGAATTGCTGCGCGTCCTTGACGCCTCAATTGCTTTGCATGATTAGAGAGTGTGTGTGTGCGCGCGTGCGTGCGTGCGTGCGTGCGTGTGTGTGTGTGTGTGTGTGTGTGTGCCTGTGTGTATTTATGTGTGTATGTGTGTGTGTGTCTGTCTGTGTCTGTGTGTATGTGTGTGTGTGTGTGTGTGTGTGTGTGAGAGAGAGTGAGTGTCTGTGTCTGTCTGTGTGTATGTATGTGTGTTAGTGTGTGCGAGTGCGTGTGTGTGTGTGTGTGTGTGTGTCTGTGTGTGTGTATGTACGTGTGTTTTTGTGTGTGTGTGTGTGTGTGTGTGTGTGTGTGTGTGTGTGTGTGTGTGTGCGTGCGTGCAGGTGCTGAGAGCAGGCTTCGAGAGCGAGTTCACTCTCCTACACTCCACCACCCCATCGTATGAACCCTTATACCTCCGTCTCCCTCTCCACGCCACTCCTGTTGCTAAATGTACAACTGCGTTCTTGCTGCACTCTTCGTCCCGTCCTATCATATCCATATCCACGCCCATTGCCCATTCAAAATTGCCTATTACGTAGCTCTCCTGACACCCCGATTCTCCACTTCCGCTCTCAAAGCACCGATTTGATGGTCATAGAGTGCCGGTAACAGCCTTTGTCAACTGCACGCATGCACTTCGTAGTGCATTGTCGTTCCCCATGCTCCGTCGTTCCCCATGCTCTCCCCGCTTGGTGCTCCCCACCTATCCCTCCTCCCCTCCTCAGCATGACCCCTGTGGACCGCACGCTCTACTGCTCCGCCCTGGCGTTTGACGAGCAGGCAGAGCTGATGGGTGCCATGGTGGCGGCGCTGCACGGCATGGGCATACCCGTGGAGCAGGTGAGAAAGGGGGGGAGGCGCGCTTGATGTGGGTGGGACATAGAGCTATGAATGAATGTGTGTCTCATGCGGCTGCTGGGTGCCATGGTGGTGGTGCTGCATGGAGATACCGCTGAGCAGGGGGTGGGGGGGAGGGGGATGCGATGTGGGTGTGGAGCATCATGTGTGTATGTATGTGTGTCACATGGAGCTGATGGGCGCCATGGTGGCGGCTTTGCATGGCATGGGTATGCCCTTGGACCAGGTGGGAGGCAGTGTGGGCGTGTGGTGAACTGTGAAAGAATGGTGGTGTGTATGTGTGCAAGCATGGCATGGCAGTGTCAGTATGTGAGAGGGAGTGTGAGCATGTGGGAGGGATGTGGGCATGTGGGAGGGAGGGATGTGGGCAGGTGGGAGGGGATGTGTGAACATGTGTAGGGGATGTGGGCAGGTGGGAGGGGATGTGTGAACATGTGTAGGGGATGTGGGCAGGTGGGAGGGGATGTTTGAACATGTGTAAGGGGATGTGGGCAGGTGGGAGGGGATGTGTGAACATGTGTAGGGGATGTGGGCAGGTGGGAGGGGATGTGTGAACATGTGTAAGGGGATGTGGGCAGGTGGGAGGGGATGTGTGAACATGTGTAAGGGGATGTGGGCAGGTGGGAGGGGATGTGTGAACATGTGTAAGGGGATTTGGGCAGGTGGGAGGGGATCTGTGAACATGTGTAAGGGGATGTGGGCAGGTGGGAGGGGATGTGTGAACATTTGTAAGGGGATGTGGGCAGGTGGGAGGGGATGTGTGAACATGTGTAAGGGGATTTGGGCAGGTGGGAGGGGATGTTTGAACATGTGTAAGGGGATGTGGGCAGGTGGGAGGGGATGTGTGAACATGTGTAAGGGGATTTGGGCAGGTGGGAGGGGATGTGTGAACATGTGTAAGGGGATGTGGGCAGGTGGGAGGGGATGTGTGAACATGTGTAAGGGGATGTGGGCAGGTGGGAGGGGATGTGTGAATATGTGTAAGGGGATGTGGGCAGGTGGGAGGGATGTGTGAACATGTGTAAGGGGATGTGGGCAGGTGGGAGGGGATGTGTGAACATGTGTAAGGGGATGTGGGCAGGTGGGAGGGTATGTGTGAACATGTGTAAGGGGATGTGGGCAGGTGGGAGGGGATGTGTGAACATGTGTAAGGGGATGTGGGCAGGTGGGAGGGGATGTGTGAACAGGTGTAAGGGGATGTGGGCAGGTGGGAGGGGATGTGTGAACATGTGTAAGGGGATGTGGGCAGGTGGGAGGGGATGTGTGAACATGTGTAAGGGGATTTGGGCAGGTGGGAGGGGATGTGTGAACATGTGTAAGGGGATTTGGGCAGGTGGGAGGGGATTTGTGAACATGTGTAAGGGATGTGGGCGTGGTACTTGATTGAACTGTGGGATGTGATCAATTGTTTGGCCAAAAGGGCCATGCTGTGGTAGCTGGCGGCTGTTCTCTCCCTCCCACACCTCGTCACTCCTCATTCCCTCTCTTCCTTAGCCTCTCTCCCTCGCTCTCTCGATCCCGTGTTCCCCCAATTTCTCTCTTCCTCCCTTTTTACCTCTCACAGCTTCACCCGGAATCGGGCGGCGGGCAGTTTGAGATTGCAGTGGGGCATGCAGCTGACGTGGCAGCAGCTGATAGGATCCTGCTGGTGCGGGAGGCGATATCCGGGGTGGTGCGGAGAGCGGCAGCAGCAGGGGCGGAGAGTGGGGGGCTGGATGGCGCGAGCAGCAAGAGGAGCAGCACACCCACTCATGTCACCTTCCTTCCACAGTCAGTTCCCGTACACTTACTCTTGCAACTGCCCGCTCACGATCCGCTTGTCAAGTTTTCCTCCTTGGATTTTTTTTGCGATCCCGCTTTTGCAATCTTCCAGTTACAAATCTTCGTTTCATTTTTTCTTGCCCAATCCTCCTCGTGCAATCCTCCTTGTATGGTTCCTCTCACGTTGTCGCGCACAGGTTGGTGGTGCACTCTCTGTCAGCACCTTACAACATTCGTGCCTGTTCAACTTCAGTCAACCCGCCCCTCAAATCTCCAAATTACCCTTCCTTGCTGACCCATCCTCTCTCCATTCCCCATCTCGCCCTCCCTCAGAGTCTTCCCTCGCGACGCAGCCAATGGCAGCCACGTCCACGTCAGCATATGGAGGGAGCTCACTGGCGGGACTGACGCGTCATCATCAGCAGCAGCAGCAACAACCTCGGGGGATGCACCTATTATTATAACAGAGGGTGGGCGCACGTACATCAACGCCTTTGCTGCAACGGGGCAAGAGGGAGAAGGCCGGCAGATGGGTCAGACAGGAGGGCAGCAGGGCATGTCGGGGGAAGGGCAGCAGTTCATGGCTGGGGTGATGGCGCACCTGCCCTCCATCATGGCTATCTCGTGTCCTCTGCCCAACAGGTACACTTTCCTCTCATTTCCTCCTTCAATTCCATCTAATTTCTCGCGCTTCACAAGAATAACACTTTCTTACTCCCTCCTCTCATCTCCTCTCATCACCACATCCCTTCCCTTTATTCCGCCAGAAAATTGTGAGTTTCTCTCCATTCAAAGCCTCATTGCCACACCCCCTCTCCTCCCTTGCTTTTTGAATTCTGAATGTTTTGGTGCACACAGCTACGAGCGCCTGGGCCCCAACAAGTGGACGGGCGCCTACCAGTGCTGGGGGCATGAGAACCGTGAGGCTGCAGTAAGGGTGGCTGCCCCCCCCACCAATACCGCTGACGACACATGTGCTGCTGCAGGCGTGCCAGCAGCGTTCCAAGAGACCAACTTTGAGGTGAAGGCGTGTGACGCGTGCGCCCAGCCGCACCTGGTGCTGGCGGCCATCATTGCTGCCGGCATGGATGGGCTGGATAAGAAGCTGCAGCTGCCAGCACCTGTTGGTATGTGCCCTTGAGTGTGGGTTTGTATGTGTGATTCCATGGGTATGTGGAGTGCAGGATTGTGCGCCCTGCATTCAGCCAGCCGCACCTTGTGCTGGCGGTCATCATTGCTGCCGGCATGGATGGGCTGGACAAGAAAATGCCGCTGCCGGAACCCATAGGTATGTACGCATGCGTGTGGGTGTGTGGAGGAGCGGGGAGGGGAAAAAGGGGTTGTGGGGCGGTTGTGATCCCATGGGTATGAAGAGCGGGTGATGTTTGTGCTCAGCTGGACGTGGTGCTGGCTGTGATTATTGCTGCTTGTACGTATGGCATGCATGGCAAGGAGCGGAAGTTGCCACTAGCTTAACCTACTGGCATGACCTGCAAGGAGTGATGTGCTTGGTACAATGGCATCATGCATGTGATGGATGTTGTTTGTGTGATGCGTCAGATGCATCCGCATGCATGCATGGACTCTTGGTGCGAGCTGCAATCATTCCCTCCTGGCGTTTCATTGCCTTGTTGATCCACGTCATCGTCACCCTTTTTAGTAAACACATTCTACTAGGAAGCACATCCAGCTAATCGCTGTGGCATCTGTTTTTCCGGGCGCTCGTCTCCTTCTAACTCTCCCTGAGACACCCCACCCCCGCCCCAGCCTGCTCTTCTTCCTGTCCCTGCTGCTACTTTCTGTCCTCGAGGGGACTCATCCCCACTCCCTCACCCCAACCTTTTGCCATCCCTTGCCATGCCGCTCCACTCCCCGAGACATCAACCCCACTGATCTTCTTCCTCACACTCCGTGCCTCCCCGCCTGCCTCAATGCCTGGAGCTGTGGATAAACCCCATCATTCCTCGTTCCTACCTCCCCTGCCACTCCCCTCCACCCATCCAGACGTCAACCCGGCTGACCTTCCGCCGCACAATGCCCCTCCTCGCCTGCCTGCAAGCCTGGAGGAATCACTAGCAGCCTTTGAGGCGGACGCTGTCATGCGGGCAGCACTGGGGGAGGCCATGGTGCAGGCGATTGTGGCAGTGCGCAAGGTGAGACCTGGGGAAGGTGATGTCAGGAAAGAGTGTGTTACGGGAGGGTGTACCAGGGGCAGGTGTGCCAGGGAAAGGTATCCTTCCCGTCTGCTCGCGTGCCTGCAGCACTCACTGGCAGCCTCTGAGGCGGATGCTGTTATGGGGGCAACGCTGGGGGAGGCCATGGTGCAGGCGATTGTGGCCGCGCGGAAGGTGAGGGGGGATGGCTGTCTCAGGGTAGGGTGATGTCTCAGGGAAGGGTGGTGTGTCAGGGTAGGGTTGTGTCAGGGCAAGGTGGCCTTGATTTTGCGTGCCTGAAGGTGACCTGGAGGAGTCACTGGCGGCCTTTGAGGCGGACGCTGTCATGCGGGCGGCACTGGGGGAGGCCATGGTGCAGGCGATTGTGGCAGTGCCAAGGTGAGACCTGGGGGGGGATGTGTCAGGAAACGTGTTTTCGTTGCAGGGTGTATCAAGGTAGACGGTGCACGGAGGAGGGTATGTTCAGCTGCTCTGTGCTCACCTGCCCTGTGCCCAGCTGCCTTCTGTCCAGCTGCTGTAAGCCCAGCTTTCTTGGGAGGGCTTCTTTTGCAGTCTTAAGTATCTCTTCTCCATCTCCCATCCCTTTCACTGTCCTCACTATTCCCCTCCCTCTCACTTCCAGTATGCACCATTTTTTGTATCCAACTCTCCTTTCCATCAACCCCTTACACATGTTTCCTACGCATGAATTCACTGACCCTGCTATTGTAACTCACTTGGCCTGTATTTCCCCTGTATGGCTGTCAACTACCATATGATGTCCATTTCAGGCTGAGATTCAACATTACTCGGGAAGAGCATCTATGGCTAGCCTACTTGCACTGAAATATTAATGTCAAAGTTATGATATCATTTTCGCGCGTGGGTACCTAATTGTCACGCAGATTTTGTTGTATAAAATCTTCACACTTCTATACGTACAATAATATAATTGGCAGCAAGTGCACGCTAGCAAACATTCACATCTCATGAATCTGAGATTGCAGGTGCCCAATCATGCACGATAATCAGAAGCAGGGATAAAACGTTCAAAAGCTGAGGTAGTAAATATTTGAAACCAACCATCTATATGTGTACAGGCGAAACACATAAACCTAATCTATATACAGGTACTACAACCTTTACTCGTCATCATTGATGAACTTCCCTGTACCGGGGTTGATAGCGGCGATAAAGAAGAATGCAATGCTCGCCAGCAGCAGCGGCTCCAGCTCCCATACCGGCAGACCAGTCTCGATATTCAGCTGCGCCAGAGCACCTTTCCCAGTAACCACCTCGCCAATCAAACTCGCCGCGAACCCCAATTGAGCCATGCGCCCCACAAAAAGCTCGTTCGCCTTGGTAAATCCAAACAGCGGTCCGTCTTCGCTCAGCCCAAGCGCGGACTTGAAACTGCCGGGTTTCACGGGCGGACCAGCAGGCTCGTCGTCAACGAATCGCCCGCGGTCGCCCAGCCCGCCGATCGCGCCGAGCACGGTGAATGCGATAAAGAAGAGCAGGAGCGGCTCGGCTTCGGTGATGGGGATTCCGGTTTCCAGATTGAGCTGCGAGAGGATCCCTTGCCCGGTAATGGCTTCGCCGAGGAGCGACGCGGCGAATCCGAGCATCGCCACGCGGCCGACGAAGAGCTCATTCGCTTTCGTGAAACCGAAGCCGCCGGATGTGCCGAAAATGCCGTCTTCGGTTCGGAGTTGCTTCTTAACGGGGATGGTCTTAGCGGGGACTGCGGATTTGTTGAAGCCGAGGAGGGCGGTGACACCTGGTCTGCACGGCGCAATGGCGGAAGCGGCTGTTAGGCGATGGGCTGAGAGTGAAGCGCCTTTGACGGCGGTGCTGAAGGACAGAGCCGAAAGCGACTGGAGTGCGATGAGGGAGGAAGCCATTGTGAACGCCGCTGGAGGATTAGTTCGGTTCTAACGTTGGAGCTGTGAGCACTCCAAGATCAGTGAGAAAGGCGGGAGGAGTTGAATCGAGGTTGATGACAAAATTGCACGAGAGAGGGAATTTATAACGCCTACCGGGCCGCGAATTCGATTTCCAGCAGTGTGATACGCTAGGCTCAAGTCCTGAAGGCAACAGACATTCAGAGTGAGACGTGGCTGCCCACCTGGAACGCCACGATGGATGGTCTGAATCAGTGTCTTGCACTTTTGTGACGTATGCTCAGCCGCGTGGACCTTTGGTTACCATTCATGTCGTCAACGAAGTGAGAAGAGTACCAACACGCCCCACGTCAGATCTCTAGCTCCGAAAGCGTGAGGGTCTGGCGTAGCTTCTAGAAGCCATTCAGAGCCGAACATAGCGGCGTTGACCGCGTGTGACCTGATTTGTTGGACGGAACCGAAGGGAAGCGAGGAATCCGAGCCCACGGCCCACGTACACCCAACAACCAGCTTTGTGCCTTCGTTCGCGTTTATAACAATGCGTTATTCTTTAGGCAAATTTCGAATGGGAAAATCCAGGTCATAAGCTGAGCGAATTATCAATCCAGGATTGTGCAGGCCCAAAATATGAACAGCAAGAATGATGCCAGGAGGAGGGGGTGTTGGGGTACGTGTCTTTTGGAAATTACCGTTGCTGAGATCAGAAGTTGATCGTAGCCCAGGATCTACCCAGGAAGGTTCGCACGCAGTGAGATAGTTTGGTGGGCCCTTGACCTCAATAGCAGAGTGAATGTAAAATGCTTTGAGATGAATAAAACATGCAAATACAACGATATAAATATGAGTACAGGGGAATACGAAGCGACCTAGCTAGCCATGTACTCTAAGGGGTACATTCCCTTATTCGAATTCAAACCAACCGTGCGGCCCGAGCAGTTACGAAACTGTTCCCGCCAGATTCATTGTCCCTGCAGCTGCCCGATGCCGTTTTTCTCCGACGGTCTAGATCCACCCTAACCGTCTGACGCTTCGAGTCAACTCTGACTCCTCGCATTCGTTCTCGATACTGCATGCCTCTTTGCTGCGGTGAGGAGTGCACAGTAATATCAAGTATTACTATTCGTAACACCCCCCTTCACTCCTGGCCGTAGCTCGACTTGACCTGCTTGACCACGCCGCTGAGTTCGGAGCAGTGCTGATACTGCTGGCGTGGCAGTCGCTTCGTGAGGAAGTCTGCTGCCATGTCACCGGTCGGGCAGTAGGTTAAGTTGACCTTGCCTTTGTCCACCTCGTCCTTCACGAAGAAGTACCGCAGCGCGATGTGCTTGGTGCGGTTGACGAAACCAGGTTTGTTCGCGATGCGAATCGCGCTCTGGTTGTCGCAGTGAAGGCGGAAGGTTGGCGAAGTTGGAATTTTCGCTTCTTGCAGAAGCTCCTGCAGGTAGAGGCCTTCGCGAACTGCTGCGGTTGCTGCGATGAATTCCGCTTCGGCTGACGACAGGGCAACCAATTCCTGCTTCTGTGAATTCCAGGAGATTGGTCCCGATGGCTCGAGTCGGAACAGGAAGCCGGTCCTGGACCGTCGATTGTCGGGGTCTGCTGCGTGATCGGCGTCCACGTAGCCGATGAGGTTGAAAGATGGAGTCGGCACAGTTGAGTAGCATAGCCCAATCTTGGGCGTTGAAACAAAGAACTGAAGGGCACGCTGCAGGTCCAGGAGATTCTCAGCCGTTGGTTTCCGTGAGTACTGCGCGAGCTGACTCGCGATGTAGGACAGATCTGGTCTGCAGGTGACAGAGGCGAAGAGAAGACATCCCAACTGCTGCTGGTAAGTCTGAATCCCAGCAGGGGATAAGGCTTTGTTGTCAGGTTTGTGGTTTGGTCCGGGGGTGCGATAGGGAGTTGAGAGAGATGCCGGTGAAATGTTGAACCGCTTCCCTAACTCCTCTGCATACTTAGCCGCTGAAAGGTGAATGGCCTCAGGAGCATAGGAGATGTTAAGGCCCAGGAACTGCTTCACCTCGTAGTTGCACGTGATGTCAATGCGCCCTGCCAAGGCCTTCTCGAACTGCTCGAGAAGCTCGTTGCTCGAGCCTGTGTAAAGCAGGTCGTCGACGTACACCGTGAGGAGAATGTATTCCCCGCGGAAGTCGCGGCGGTACATTCCTGGGTCGTGCGGCATCTGCTTGAACCCGATTTCAAGCAGGATGTTGTGCAGGTACTGCTGCCACAGTCTCGGTGCCTGTTTGATGCCGTAGAGTGACTTTCGCAGCTGACACACGCGCGCGTCCCCTTCGCCATAGGTGTGCGGCTGCTCCACATAGATCACGGCGTCTACTAACGCGTACAGGAACGCGTTCTTTACGTCGATTTGGCGGAGTGGCAGATGCCTTGCGGCTGCGATGGCTAGCAGGATGCGGACGGAGGTGTGACGGCTAACTGGGGCGAACGTTTGATCGAAGTCGATCCCGTGCCTCTGGTCATAGCCGCGAACCACCCATCGCGCCTTAAAGCGCTCGATCGTCCCATCCGCTGCGGTCTTCACGCGGAAGACCCACTTCCCCGAGAGAATTCTTGCGCCCTTGATTGCTGCGCGGTCGACGAGCACCCAGGTGTTACGTGACTCCAGTGCCTTAATTTCCGCGTCCATCGCCTCACGCCACTCCTTGCTGTGTGGTCCAGAGAGAGCCTCGCGCGGGTTTCGGGGCTCGATGATGCGCGGCGCTTTCGAGGTAGCAGCGTGAAGCCCGAGCAGTTGCAGCCCCGAAACGGTGCTGTCGTGGCGGCGTTGCGGGATGACTTCCTGCACGTCGTCGTCATCACTTTCTGGTTCAGGTGGTGCTGGTGGTTCTGCGCCTCTGCCGCTTCCGCCTGTTCCTGTTCCGCCCATTCCTCCTCCTGAGGAATCATCGTCGTCGTCGTCGCTGCTGTGCCGATTCTCCCATGCGAACTCGGCCCTGGTGTCTTGCTCCAGGAGTGCTGCAGCGGCTTCGTCTTCGGGCGTTGCGTAGCTGTGTCCGTTGTTCGCGTAGACGCGATCTGCGTTTCTCTGTTCGTCATCGCGGAATTGGTCGAGGAAGAGACGCTCGTAGAAGATTACGTCGCGGGCATGGGCGGTCTTCTGACTCAGAAGGTCCAGCACGATCCACGCCTTGTGCTCGTGGCTAATGCCGAGGTGAATTCCCCAGCGCGCGCGACTGGTGAATTTGCCGATGGTTGATGTCGGCGGTCGGTACTGCACCATGCACCCCCAGACGCGCAGCATCGATGTGTCCCCCTTTGTCCCAGTCCACTTGACGTGCGGGGACAGGTTGCCGGTAATTGCGGTGGTCGAAAGCAGGTTGTGCACCCGCACGGCGTGGTGCATCGCGTAAGTCCAGTAGATCGGCGGCAGCTTTGATTGCTTCATCAGCGCGCGCACCTTCGTCATCAGCGTGCGGTTCGTCCGCTCAGCTACGCCCTGTTGCTGGTGTGCGTAGGGGAGGGAGATGTGATGCTCGATCCCCTTTTGCGTCAGGAATGTCTGCATCTGATTACTCCTGAATTCTGCCGCGCCGTCGGACTGCCAGATCTTGAGCTTCTTTCCAGATTGCCGCTCCGCATGTGCTAGCCAGAGGCGGAACACCTCGTAGGCTCTGTCGCGCGTCTCCACGTTCACGACCCATACATAGCGTGTTCCTGCGTCGATGAAGGTAAGCGTGTAGAGTTCGTCTTCGATTCCGCAATGCCCCACGTTCAGGAAATCGCTGTACACCTTGTGCAGCTTGGGGTATCGGTTGGTTCCAGGTTCGAGCAGCGGGAACGGTTGGTGGCTCAGCGCAGCTTCGGGGCAGACGGTGCAGTTGCGCGGATGTGTCGCGCCGCTCACTTCGGAGCCATCAGGGCGCAGGAGTGCGCCAGGAGCGAAGACGCCAGCGTCGATGCAGTTTTTGAGCGTCGCGCGGGAAGGGTGTCCGAGGCGCTGGTGCCAGAGTGCATCATCAGCGCGAAAGCCGGAGGTGCGCATATAGCGCGCGCGCGCTTCCTCGGGGTCTTCGTCAGGTACAGGAGCAGGTTCTGCTGCTACTTCTTCTGCTTCTTCTTCTGCCGCGGTGGTCAGCATCAACGCCAAGAACTCTCTGTCGCGAATTTCAGAGAGCGGGATGTTGGTCCCAGGGATGGTTCCAGGAACAAGGGTAGGTTGGCGTGGTTCAGGGGCAGGTCCGTAGATAGTGCGACGCGGGGTTGACGGCTCGTTGCCCCAGGTAATGGTATCCCACGGGTCGCGATGCGGGGGAATGTCTGCAGGAGGTGGTGCGAGGGGAATGCGGCGCGGGGGACGACCGAGAGGAACGACTGCAGGTGCTGCTTCGGTCTCCGCGGCTTCTTCCTCTCCCCCCCTTCGTTCTTCGCGTGAAGTACCCCAGCCGCTATTGTCGGCGCCAGATGCGGCGCCCCATCCGCCGCTTGCGTTGGCCCAGGTGCCGCCGGTGTCACCCCATCCGCCAGTATCACTGGTCCCCCATCCACCAGCGCTTCCCCACCCCCCTTCATTGGAGGCGCTTGCTTCTTCCTCAGCTCCCCAGGCGGTGCAAGCGAAGGTCCCGCGTGCTTCCGCGAGGCTTTGCTGGCGAAGCTCCTCGGCTTCGCGGCGCGCCAGTTCTTCCTCCTGTTCCACGGCGATTTCGGCCGTGTGGTCGCGCCAATGGGGGTAAATCTTTTGAAAATCTTCGCGGGAGTAGGGTCGCGGCACGCCATGCGCATCGAAGGTGCCGACGCCAGTTCCGCGGAGCATCCCTCGAAGGTGTTGAGAGGGCGGACCGGCAAGAGGGTACTTAGTGTTAAATTGTAATGTGTTATATGTTGGTAGGCTGTAGTGGGGTAGCCAATATGGGGTACAACCCCAACTAGGGTTTCCTATTTGTACCCTTGCTTCTTTCAATCCAACCATTCTTGCCTAGTTATTCTGATATGGTATTCAGAGCAGGAGGTCCCTAGGACCTACCGACCGTTTTTTTTTT